GACTTACAATTAGTCTCTCCTATCATGTGTTAGTTTTTCATTTCTTCCTTTTCTTACTTTTGTTTGTAAATAGGGTCTCACTCAACCAGGCTGACCAAGCTGGTATGGAAATTATTACATAGATAGATCCACCTGCCTCTATCTCCAAAGTGATGTGATTAAGGCATGTCCCATCAAACTCAGCCTCTTTCACCATCATGCCCAGCCTCTTTACATTGTGGATAGTATAACCAATTTAACGCCGTTGAAGCTTAATGAACTATCTTTTCTTTACTGTTTGTGCTTTTGATGTCATCTAACAACATTTAGCACTTTAGTCTAACTCAAATACTAGGATCAACTGATTTATGAGTGTAAATTCTTTTCTGATCATTAACTTACTCTGATAGTAGTGCCAGTTATGGTCACTTTAACCCTGCAGTTAAGATTTAAATGCAATACACTCAATATTTCTCTTTCTTCTCAGACCACAGTGACTGCTGTAGTGAGAATGCTGGAATTTTGGTTTCTTTAAAACACACACACAGAGAAATGCAATGAGGACATGATTCCCGGTATGAGGATATGGGGCTTTGCAGCAGCTGACTATGATTTGCCTTGTGCTCTAGCATAGGTGTGGTTTTTGCCAGCTGCAGATATTTTTTGTGATTGTGTAACATTTGGAATTCTGGAAATTTTTCAGAGGGCATATATATGCTAGATTCCCAACGATGAGGTAGGTGACTGATGGTTGTAGTTTGTTAGTAATTATGCTCAAAGAAGACAAGAAAGAAATTAGATTCAAGGATCTCTCCCTCTCTCCCTCCTTTCACTATCTGGTGATAAGGGGTGAAACAATAAAGGTGGTTAGAAAAACCCACAAAATAGCAAATGACCAGCTATACATTTTCCCAGATCTTGTACTTATATTAGAATTTTCTTGTCAGTAGTTTTTTTGGTCTAACAAAACAGCTCAACAGGTGAAGGCGCTCAATGCCAAGCCCAGACACCCAGAGTTTGGTTCTCCAGGACCCATATGATATAAGGTACTATCACCAAGTTGTCCTCTGACTTCTACATACACACAGTGGCACCCTCCTCCCAACAAATAAATGTAATTCTTAAATTTTTAAAAATAAGTTAAAAAAATCAAAAGAGGCCACCTCTAATTTTGAGAAAGTCTGTAATAACGATGAAGATAAATTGGACAGAGTTATCTTAATAGGATTAATTCTCCTAAGCTTTGAAAATGGAATATTTTCTATTTAGCCTTCTTAAAATTCTTTCAGTGGTTTCTCTCACCTTTCAAGCTACAAACCTTGCATTATCAATTTATTCTTAGATGTTTTATTCTGTGAACGTAACTGGTTGTGTTTATTGCTCTTTATCTTGTCCATAATTTGCACAAGCACATATTGGAGCTTTTCTATAATGGACACACATACACACACGCACGCACGCACGCGCACACACACACACACACAAATGGTTTTGCTTCTTTTCTAATCTGGCTATCTTATTTCATTTTCTACTGCAATTGCTATGACTAATACCAGTATGGTGTTAAATAGAAGCAGCAAGAACATATACCACCTATTTTCTAGATGATATGTAAGTTGAAACAATTTGGGCATACTGGTCTACATATGAGAATATATAGACCAGCAGAAGCCCATCCTTAACCCGTTTCAGTTAACTCTTCACCAGTCATGCTCTGAAACAATTACATGAAAATTTCAAGAAATAGACAATTTGTATTTTTAGGCTGTCCCTTCTGAGTGGTATAATGAAACCTTACACTGTACATTCTATCAAGATACAAATCTTTTCTTGGTCCAGTGAATCTATGGTGTTTAAAGACTCACTCTATAACACTGGCTTGCCTGGAACTCATTATGTAGACCAGGATGGTCTCATACTCAGAAAGACCTACCTACCTCTGCTTCTTAAGTACTAGAATTACAGGCATGCCCTACTATATACCCAATTTCTTTCCTTGATTTTTTTTTAAAAAAAATACAAATCTAAAGAGTATTCATATTTCCTAAATACTTAAACACTAATATAGTGAAAGCACCATAACTCAACAAACACATAATGGCAGAAATAGCAGAATTTGGCTATCTTAGGACGTATGTCAGTAATTTCAAGTACCAAAACACTATTTTTTAAAGTGAAACACTATTTTTTCAAGTACCAAAACACTAAGTTTTTAATCTGAATAATAGATATCTTGAAGTAGGCATTAAAATCTATAAAAATTTGTTTTGCAAAATGGGGTACATTGTAGAAGAATTTTTAAAAATGAGGTTTCAGAGAATTTATAATTTAATAAGGCAAAAGAATTATAACCAAGAACAGAATATAAGAAAGACTGTTGACGATTCTTTCAAACTCACTACTAACCTTTTCAGAAGTTCTAAAAGTTTAGACAGTACTATAAAGCAAAGCTCATTTATTCACTCAGCAACTAACCATCTTAACAAATTCTGTAGTGATTGACTCTGGCTGGCAGGTTCCCAAAATATAGGTATAGCTTCTATTTTTGTAAATAAAATAATAAGCTGAGTAATTATTTTTAGTTATTGGGAAGGTGTTTTTTTAAAAAATCTTTTTTTAGTAGAGAGTTTCTTTAAATTGTGTGTCACTCTAGTGGAAGTTGGAAATACTTATTAGATGTATAAGGCCTCATCAATGAATAAAGTAATATTAAATAGCAAGAAATCCATCATTTAAATTTCAATTCCATAACACCAGACTCTGAAGGAATTGGTGCCAAGGTGTGAGTCCTGTGTGTGTGTGTGTATGTATGTGTGTGAGAGAGAGAGAAAGAGAGAGAGAGAGAAGAGAGAGAGAGAGAGAGAGAGAGAGAGAGAGAGAGAACGAAAACTAATCCATCAAAGTTTCCTAGGCTATTTGTGAGCCTCAAAGACTCATATAAGTGAAGCTTAGCTCATAATAAAAAAAATAGCAAAATTGGGATTAGAGAAGTAAGCAGAGAAGTGACCCCACAGGAGACTTAGGCATGTTAAAGGAAGAGCAAATATACTAATCTGTCTGCAAAGTGGTATAATGGTAAAACAAATTATACTATACTCTACTTCATGGCAAAGGTCCTTAGACCAATTTTGCTAAATAGTAAGATTATATATATATATATATAAAATATACATAAAATACCCATTTAAGAATGGAAAGAAACAGTCTCAGAAGAGATAAACAACTTACTAATAAAGTCACAATGTTCAGTAAGTCACTAAGTCTCAAATCTGAGACATTTTAACTAAAGCCAAGCAGTAAGTACTTTCTTTTCAATTATGCACTCAGAAGCAATAAAGCAAGGTTTAAAAGATGGCAAACCATGTCAAAGGCTGAGGTAATAAGAAATATGGGCTTCACAAATAAAAAAAATGGTGAGAAGTAACAGGATGATTCTGACCTCTATGCTGCATACAGAATACTTTTAAACAGGGTGATTTACACAACATAATTACTGTTATGACCCATCAATTATTTAAAACTGTGAATCCTAGAAGAGTAAGACTATATTCGTGCAGCCTGTAAAGAGATTAAGTATGATTTTCAATTGTACCCTGTGATGATTGATTTTTATTGTCAAACTGATATAGCATAGTTGCAGAGGAAGAGAAAACCATCAATAAAGAAACTATCTAGACCATATGGCCTATAGGAATGTATGTGGAGCACTGTCTTTTATTTCTGACAGGTGTAGGTGGGCCTAGCCCATTGTAAAGGTCCCATCTCTAGGCAGGTGGTCCTGGGCTGTAGGGAGAACTACTTAAACAGGAGCTAGCATGTGAGACAGCAAGCAACATTCCTCCATTGTTTCTACATAAGCTCCTGCTTAAGTTCCTGCCTTGACTTCCCTCAGTAATAGACTGTATCACTGAGGAAAATGTAAACTAAATATACTCCTCAATTTCTAAGATGCTTTTTTTGGCCAGAGTATTTTATCACAGCAACCACCACCACCACCACCACCAAAAAAAACCCCAAACACACACACACACACACACACACACACACACACACACACACACACAAAACAAAAAAGCAAACCTAGGACACACTCCAACTCAGTCTATTTTATATTAGATTTAATGTGTGACCTATGTCAGCTATTTTTAAAGGAAAGTCAACCTTTTCTTAGCAGTATTTTTTTTTAATGAAAAGCAACCATGTATCAACTTATATTTGAAAAAATACTTCAAAAATGTTGCTCCTATACCTTAAGAAATATGGTACATGTCTGCCAAAAGGTGTCAGTGGGAGGCTGAAGTGATGGTTCACAGAGTAAGCATGAGAATTTAAGTTCAAAGCCACAGAACACATATTAAAAACCGCAAATGGTCACATGCATCTGTAACCCTAGCTCTATGGAAAGGCAAAGACAGGAAGATCAGGAAGGCTTGCTGACCAGCAGTGTAATGCCAGGCTCAGTGATAAATCCTGTTCTCAAGGGAATAAAGCAAACAGTGATGGAACAGGACAGCTGATACTTCCCCTGACCTCGGCTCATGTGTACAGACATGTATATCACACACATGCAGAAGTACAAATAACCCCCCCCACACACACACATTTTTAAATTTGTTTCTGTGAATTCACAGTATTTATAATCTAAAAATGTAGTTTAAGTATATTTTAATCTTTTCTCAATTAGAGAAAAGTACAAAGATTTTATACACATACACACATACACACACACACACACACACACACACACACAGAGATGTCAAAGCTCAAAGAAAGCAAAAGCAAATGTTACTATTCATTACTTGGTTCTAACACTGGTAAATACATTTGACTTATCTGACTCATGAACCTCAAGAACCACTAAAGTAAATAATATAGTTCTTTAACTCTACTAAATTTTAAAATAGGTTGACATTAGAGAACATTTTTATTTACCCAGTACTTAAATAATCATCATCTAGTAATAAAATCTTCAAGTTGGAAATATGAATTCAGAGACTTGGATATGAAGTCTGCATACATACCTTTGTCTTTCTTAAAATCCAAAGCATCTTCTTTATCAGTCACTATTTCCTTCATATTGATGATACTCTGATGGGTGAGTTGTCTAAGAATTTTAATTTCTCTAATTGCTGTAATTGGGAAACCCTCCTTTTCATTATCCAGACGTACTTTCTTTAAGGCTACCATTTCTCCTATTAGACAGTCAAATAAAATCAAGTTATTAGCTTTCAAAAGACAATGCTGTTTTTCATAATTGTCTTTATCATTTCTGTTTCTACTTTTTAAAATTATTTAAAATTAAAATCATTTTCATTTCCAACATACTAAATGGTATTTGTAGTTTAAGAAATTAACCTCAAGTAAACTTTGGGGTGATCCACTACATTTAACACTATACAGTTGGTTAGGATTGTATTTATTGTTTCATACTGTCTATTAACACAAAGAAGAAGGATGGTAAAGAGTGAGTTTATCATCATTCTTTTCTGTGTGAAGGAGGGAAGGGTCAATATATCCTAAATATTAAAATTTAGGTATGTGTGTTTTGTATCAGATAGAATGTAATTAATCAGACATACACACATACATAGAGTTATTACATGTTAAGCTTATGTTCAGAAGCGGTCGGGCGGTGGTGGCGCACGCCTTTAATCCCAGCACTTGGGAGGCAGAGGCAGGCGGATTTCTGAGGCCAGCCTGGTCTACAGAGTGAGTTCCAGGACAGCCAGGGCTATACAGAGAAACCCTGTCTCAAAAAAAAAAAAAAAAAAAAAAAAACAGAAATGGTTTAGATTTTGGAGGTTTAGGGGAGTTTCTATTTTGTGTTGTGGGAATATATATAGCCTTATTAGGCTGAGCATCAGTCACATAAGAAAAATATTTCATAAAAGGATATTCATTCTACTTCTTTGGAAGGAAAGAAAAAAGACTGATGTTATAAATTTTCTAAGAAAAAAGTTTATCCTCTTAAGCATTAAAACTCTTTTTAATTTTTACATTGTTTACCTATAATGTAGTATATTTCATTAAAGCTTCTTAAAGTTGTAATTCAATCTCATTAATACAACATTACAAATATCAATGGTTACTGTATGTTCTAATTGCCTTCATTAGTTTCTAACCAGAAGGTGGTTAAACTAAATGGCCTCAAACAGCTGTCAATTTTAATCTTAGTCTATGTTTAAAGGCAGTATAAATTTAAAGAACACTAGTTCTGCCAAGCAGTAGTGACGAATATCTTTAATCCCAACAACACGCAAGAGGCAGAGGCAGGCAGCTGATCTATGAGTTTCAGGCCAGCCTTGGCTACATAGAGAAATCCTGTCTCAAGGAAAGTGTGAGGGAGAGGTGGGGAAGCTAGTTTTATGCATTATTTACTTCTTCTGTAATGTGACTTCTAACACAACTACTTTTCTGGAGGAGGCATTTCAAAACTTTCCCCCACGTTCTTAATTATGCTCCAAAAAAGTAATGTTCTGAAATCTTAAGCTTCTGAGTCTGGTCCAAAGGGTAACTTGTATATAAGGGAGAAAGTTGGCCAAAAGAAAATTTTATGTGACTTCTTAATACAAAATAACTTACTCCTAAAGACAAGCATGGTGACACATGCCTGTAACACCAGTCCTCAAGAATGTAAGCCAGGAGGGTCACTAAGTTCAAAGCAGCCTGGACTACATATATACATACTTTGCCTCAGAAAGAAAAATTAAACTACTAATACTTTAGCCTAGGTATCAACAGTTTTAATAATTATTTCACCACAAAAGGAACACATCCCCCTAAATCCTGCCATATAGAATATCACTGATACTGAAGGAAGTTTTTAAAAGATTATGTGGCCACATGTACTGATGTAAGAACACAGAAAATGCATATACAGAATAAAATTAAGACTAAGCAACAGCACAAAGAATTTTTACTTCTTTTGGAAATTCTTAAAGCTATACATTAGAAGAAAAAATATTCTTACCAGTGTCTTTGTCCCTGGCTTTGTAAACTTGTCCGTAAGTACCTTCTCCAATAATTCCGATGATATCAAATTTATCCACGCAGCGTTTCCCCCAGTCAATATCTTTTTCTTTGATTTCACCATAGCGAGGCCCACATATTCTATTAAATATAGTTCTGAAGTTTTTATAGACAATCAAGCAAACTGAATAAACTGTTTAATAATTCAATAATTCAAAAGTAATCCTGCCCAATCTTAAATCTGTTACTTTACCCTATTCATGTATATTTGTGAACATTCACATAAAACAAGTTACTGTCAGTAGATATTACAAGTTATCATAAAAGTAAACTATAATGTCTACATCACTCACTCTAACTAGATTAGAACTTCAAAGAGAAGTAGCGACAGTGTTTCTTTAAAAGGCTTTTAGGAATGTAGCTTTTCAGTAAGAAGGTAGAAACATTACTAGAAATCATCAAGATTCACTACTCAGTCTCCATAAAATTTTTCATTCAAGGATTCTCTCTCCCCATATATGTGTATATACATGTGCATAGGCACACACATGCACACATGTTCATAGTACAAGGTAACAAATAGTAACATAAGAAACTGACTACAAATTACTTACAAAATTATTTATAGCATTATAAAACACCATCATAAAAATACTGAAGGTTTTTCATTCAAATAAGTACAGAGAGTCTTAATTCATGTAAAATCACAACTCAAAATTCCATACTTGGATAGAGATTAATAGATGTCAAAAATCAAATTCTTTAAAAAGATGTTACTTTGTTGTATTTTGATATTTTATAGCAGGGCCAACACAGACTCAAGAATTATAGAAAAAGGATTCGAGGACCAAAGTTTTCTTCTCATAATAGAAAATTATCTTATATTTTTAAATTAGATGCCACCCAAAGAGCAATTCTAAATCAAATCTATCCAAAATGTTTTAAAACTTTTCCTTTGTTGAGTAGACATTTTTAAAAAGCACCAGAATTTTATTTCTTACCTTCAAGGAAAAAAAAACTCTACCAGGTGTTTAACATGAAGCTACATCAGCTTCAGTTCAAAAATTCTATCTCTTGGAAAATTACAATGCATAGTTATATGAAAAAAATGAGTAGTTCAAAGCAAAGGAAAACACTATCCATTACTGATTTTGTTTGAGTGCACTGAATACTGTCTTCCACTTGATTCAATTGCAGTGTTTTTATATTAGTTAGCTATCTTAATGATTGTTTAGTGTCTTTGATACATGCAACATCCCCAAATTAATAATTACAAACTCTAAGAAAATTTCATTTGGCTTTATTAGTCACTACAAATAGGTACCACCCTTCATGAATATTTGCTTCAGAACTCTGAACCAATCTGTATGTTCATGTTCAAATAAATACACACTTTTCATTTTAAATCTTAATGTTTTCTAAGTTTATAATTATCCAGGATAGTGTGTCCAGTCAACTTAAGTGCCAGTAGAAAGCAAGCACATACTTAGGCCTTCTTTTGCTATGTAACTGTGTTGCTGTTTTCTTCTCCTCTGGACTCTTGGAAAGATCATCTCCTCCTGGTAACTCAGGGGGCAATGGTAAATCAGCAAGCAGACATCGGAGTTTCTTTTCAACTTCTTTTTTAACTGCCTTTACAGAAATAGTGCCTCTTAAGCTAAAGAAGAAAAAAAAGGGGGGGGGGATGAGTCACATCAACCATGAATAGTTGATTATATGATATGATAAAAATATGATCATATTTTAATTTTTAAATAGCATGCAAAGGCTGTATATCATGTCATACTTCAAGTCCACCTAACAGATTATTATCCTTCAACCACTAAGTAAAAACTAAGAAAAAAGTGACACAGAATTAAGCAAAAAAAACCACAGAAATCTGTAAAGAGTAGACCTTAATTAATAGTAAAGTATGGATACTGTTTAAATGTAGTAAGTGCAAGAAAAATGAGGATTCAATGATATCTTTTTATCTTTGTAAATCTGAGACTATATTTAAAAATCAAGTCTAGGGAGCTGGAGGATGGCTTCCTGGTGATAGGCATGCAAGCATAAGAACCTGGATTCAATCCCAAAACTCCAGCAACACGGCTCTACAATCTCAGTAATCCTAACCTGAGAATGGAAGTAGAGGCAGCAGAATCCTTAAAAGCTCATGGGCCAGCTACCCTGGTGTTTATATTTGAGTAACAAAGGGAAGTTGCCTAATACAAGGTAAGGAGGAACATTTAATGTTGTCCTTAGAGCCTATACCAGCACCATGGCATGCACATGTCACATACAATACACATATACAAATAACAAAGCTTAAACATTAAAAAAAAAGTTCTAACTTCCAAAACTGTGAACTAAAAAGAAAAAAATCAAATCATCCTTTGCAAGAAACCACATAATTTTTTAATATTTGATTCTGATAGGGAGACAATGATGCTCTCATTTTAGCACATAAAATCGCAAACTACAATTGGCACACAACTATTCTCTTGCCCATTTACATAACCAAAACCAATTAATTCACTTTTAATCTCAGCACTTGGGATGTACAGGCAGGTGGACAGATCTCTGTGAATTTGAGACCATTCTGGTTCCAGGACAGCCAGAGATCCATACAACCTTGCATTAAAAAAAAAAAAAAAAGATTCTCAGCTGTTCTGCTGTCATGCCTTTGCTCTGCCATCATGAATGCTAACCCTCCATAATAGCATTACAAGTGAATTATAAGCCTGGTTAGTTCCACACATTTTTTTTAATTTTCAAATTGTATCTGAAGTTGTAATTGGTAATTTAAAATTTCCCAAATTTAAAAAAAAAAAAAAACTGTTACCCAAGAGAACCTTTTAATACTAAACTCAGAGAATTTACAAAAAATATTCAGACCAGGGTTTTGTTGTTGCTGTTTTTGTTTTTGTTTTGTTTTTCAAGAAAAGCTATATACAACACTGGGCCCAGATTTTTGTAAAATAGGGTTGTGGCTGAGGCTGAGGCTGAGGCTGAGGCTGGAGTTCATTAGAAGGATGGCCCAGCTTGAGTTAAACCCAAAAACCAGTAAACAAAAGAGAAAAATAAACTTCTTTACTTTCATACCACTAACCTTCTCCTTTAATAGAAATTAAGAGTCAGCGCCAATATACCAAGTATCTAGAGGTTAAAACACAAACACTAAAGTACCAGCAATAAAATAATATGTTGACAGAGAACAAAGTCCACAGAAACACAGATATTCCTGAGTTTTTATATTAGCATTTCAAATTAGTCAAACTCTGGTAGCATCACTGTTACAAGGAAGAAGGTGGCAAACCAGAACATCTCCTGCTTCTTCATAACAACCTAAACCAATTTCTCTGAGAAAATCTTTTGAGTCCACCTTTTGTAAATTTTATAAGCTGAGATTATAAAGGGAAAAAGGTGATTTGACTAGAAAAATAGAAAATATCCATAGCAAGTAAAAAACAAAAATAAGTATCAGGCATAGTGGTGCAAGATTTTAATTCCAACACTCAGGAGGCAAAGGCAGGTGGATCTCTGTGGTTTTAAGGCCAGTCTGATCTAATAGCAAACTCCAGGACAGCTAGACATTTCTCAAAAAAATAAAAAAAAAAAGCAACCCAAAAACAAACGTCAAAGAAAAACAAGAGTCTGAACTACAAAGATCAAAAGTCCTAATGAGAAAACTCTTCACTTTATAAAAGGAAGAACTGAAGACTGTGAGCCAAACAAAACACCAAGTGCCTGTCCCATTAGCAACCAAACAAACACACACCTAATAATGTAACTTCAAGACTACAAAAATCCAAATTGTTAAAATCTATTACTGTTAAGGTGATTCCATACTCAAAAAGGAGAGCTAGGCATGGTGGCTCAGGCCTTTTAACCCCAGCACTCTGGAGATTCAACCGGCAGAGGCAGGTAGATGCCAATCTTGTCTACAAAGTGAGTTCCAAGATAGCCAGGGATACATAGAGAAACCATATCTCAGAAAACAAAAACAAAAGATGATTCCATAACATTTCAGGATATAAACTAGCATAGTCTTGTTAGGATACAATTTGTTGCTCTCATTTCTAAAGTTTTAAATGGATATAATTTGTCATATTCTATCTTAACCAAGTATCTATAAACATTAGTAGTAGAAACTATGATATATCGATTGTTATAGATAAGCATATTGGAGCTATCAAAATTAATATGGAAATATTTTCTACACAGTAAATGAAAAAAAGTAAAGGAGTATCATGATCCTGATTCATCTTTTTTAAGATTTATTTATTTATTATATATGAATACACTATAGCTGTCTTCAGACACACCAGAAGAGGGCATCAGATCTCATTACAGATGGTTGTGAGCCACCATGTGGTTGCTGGGATTTGAACTCAGGACCTCTGGAAGTGCAGTCAGTGCTCTTAACCACTGAGCCATCTCTCCAGCCCGATCCTGATTCATCTTAAATTAAAAAAAAATCATGTTTTTATAAAAACACAATGGTAGCAGAAGAAACAGTTTACTGCAGTTCTGGGAGAAGGAGTCAAAGTGAGATATACGGTTTGGCTCAGACTCATAGAGGCTCCAATCCAGTGAAAAGGTGAAAGGTTTCAGCTCAGAGAAACCTCTGATCGGTTGACTGTGACTGATAATACAGAAAAAGTTTCCCTAAAATTAAGAAGACTGAGAGGAGTAGAAAGAACTGACTTTTTAATATTAGCTTTATTAACAACTATTAAGAGGAGTAATCAAATTCCAAAATTATCATCTGCAGTTCCCATTATAGTAACTGATTAAGACAAATCTTATTAGTGGGTGCTAAACCATTAATTAGATGACCAGTTGCAGGAAAAACAAATCTTCAAACTGATGAATGTGCTATCCTACAACTTCAAAATGCAACCTTCTGCACAGAAGTTTTAAGGCTAGTCATCACTTTACCAAGATATCACATCACAATTTAACATTGTGTTCTTCATGTAATAGGAAGTACATAAAATCATCTAAATATTCTGACCCAAAACAGTTATTTGTTCTCAACCTAACCAAGATTTGAGTTCAAGTTTATAGGAAATGGAAAGGTAAGAGAAGAGCAAGTGAACTGTCATCAAGAAGACATAATCAGACAAATACTACTATAAAACTACAGATTCAAATTCCTCAACTCATGAGGATAACACTGCAATTATCTTAGGTTACATTAACGGTACTTGTGACTAAACTGAAAACTATGGCAACCACTTATTTTCAAAAGATGTGCATACACATACACCTTCCCTATACAGAGAAATTAAAAGCACAGAAATAAATATTAAGTAAAATATTAGCATTTGTTGACTCTAAAAAAGTAGTTCTCAACCTGTGGTCACAACCCCTTTCGAGAGGGGGTGGGGAGGAGAGGCTTAACAATCCTTTCACAGAGGTGGCCTGAGATCACCTTTGCAAATCATATATATTTATGTTATGATTCATAACAGTAACAAATGTACAGTTATGAAGTAGGAACAAAAATAATTTTATGGCTAGGGGTCACCACACATAAGCAACTGTATTAAAAGGTTGCAGCATTAGGAATATCGAGAACCGCCGGGCGGTGGTGGCGCATGCCTTTAATCTCACAGTATTTGGGAGGCAGAGGCAGGCGGATTTCTGAGTTCGATGGCATCCTGGTCTACAGAGTAAGTTCCAGGTCAGCCAGGGTTACACAGGGAAACCCTATCTCAAATAACCCAAAAAAAAAAAAAAAAAGAATATCGAGAACCACTACTCTAGAAGGTTGTAAAGATGTTAATTTTATTATTTAACTTTTTTAAATGCCTGAATACATAAAACTAACAACAGAGTACAGATTTATAAAATCAGTCACAAAAAAATACAAACCATCTTTCTTAGATAATTATTTAAGGATATAACTGTGACAGTTAACTAGAAATGGGTAGAAGCATGCTTAAAGAAAGTAAGATGGAAAGCCTTCCTGAAGATATGACTACTGAGATTGTGTAGACTATTACAGTTCTTTAAAATGTTCTTTAGATTTCCAGTGAATGACAAGTAAATAAAGACGACTTGCACATTCAGGATTCCAAAAGCATATCAGAACAGAAAAGGTGCTCTCTACACATCAACAAGATAGATGACAAATTCAACAAGTAACCAATTTCTCCTCCCCACACTCCAAAACCAAACAAACAAAAAAAACAAACAAAACAAAAACAACCCACACCAGGTTGTAAAAAGAACTTTTAAATATAAAACTGCTATGCTCATCAAGACTGATGAAAGGGGGTGTGGGGGTGTAGAGTTGCTCTTCCCTTATAAAAGGGGGCAGAAAGCCAACAGTATGTGCTTATAGAAACCTAAAAAGCAGTCCTTTTCAAAAAAAGCATGAAGTCTATTATACCTTGGTAACTCTGAACAATAATAACTAGCCATTTTATTTTTTTATTTAATAAAAATACCATTAACCTAAGGTAGTCAATATTTCCTGTTGTCTTAATTTACACTAAAATAATCATAGTATCTGAGATAAACAGAACTTTAGATTATAAATTTTAATCATGTCACTTAATTTAAGTAACTAATCTATAACTTTTTAGGATAAATACGGTTACTTTTGGATATAGATACATGGAATAGAGCACAGAAAACTGAAAACATAAGACTACCAACAGCTATGACCTTCTACATGTACTCCACTAACAAAATTTATTGTATTTCTAACAAAACTAAAACTATAAAAGAATTTTTGGCCCTATTCAAGTAATTTTAACCATTTTTCTTTTTCACAGTACATTTTTATTTAGTTACTTAAAACTTTGCTGAAAATATGTCTCCTCTTTATATACTTAAAACCACCGGGCAGCGGTGGTGCACGCCTTTCATCCCAGCACTTGGGAGGCAGAGACAGGGGGATTTCTGAGTTCGAGGCCTGCCTGGTCTACAGAGTGAGTTCCAGGACAGCCTGGGCTATACAGAGAAACCCTGTCTTGAAGACCAAAAAGAAAAAAAAGAAAAAAAGAGAGAGGAAAAAAAAAAGCAAAAAAAACTCTGTATTTAAATCAATCACTGAAATACATAAATTACTGGCACATTCATGTCTGTAGTAGTATTCAGTGTAGTAAGAAAACATACATACAATGCAAAACATACAAACCCAAAAAGACACAATGAAAACCAAAAAGAAAGAGACAATACAGATCAAGCAAACTGTAGCTGAGTGGATGTGGTGGCCAGGCCCTTAATACAAGCACTCAGGAGCTCTGCAGAGGCAGGCAGATCTCTGTGGGTTAAGCCTAGTCTACATAGTGTAAGGCCTCTGAATCTCCTTTCCTACCCATTCCCTAAAAAGCAACAAGATAAAAAGACTTTTATACTAACTTGGGGAAAGGATAAGTTAAAAGTTACATTTTTTTCTTTGAAGAGTTACTGACAAAATTTGTCTGGACTTACCTATCAGTATCTTTATCTTCAGGCAGCATGGGAGGCAAAGGTAATGGTGGTAATGTAGAGGTCACTAAAGCCACATGTTGCTCCTTCTCCTTGGCTCCTATGCTTGGTGTGAGTGGCTTGGTTTTCTCTTTAGTGGACACTGGTTCTTCCTTTGTAGCAGCAGGTTTACTCTCCTTCCCAACAACTGTTTTCTTGGTGGCTTTCTCTACAATCAAATTATTGTCTATCTTTGTTACTTGAAGCGGTGGCTTTGTTTTCGCTTTGTCGCTTTTGACAGTTCCACCACTTGAAGGAGAAGGTGCATGCTCAGTTTTAAGTTTTTTTACTTCCTTCACATGGTTTGTCTGTGAGACACTGGCACCAGTTTCTGTGTTCCCCTTGGTAGGCGTAGAAGCATTTGAGGCTTTTGCAGCTTTGGCAGCTGCCTCAGCAGCCTTAGCAGCTTCTGCAGCTTTTGCTGCCTCTGCAGCTCTTGCTGCCTCTGCAGCTCGTGCCTTTTTATTCTTGTTCAATTCAGCTGCCAAGCTACTCTTCAGAGTTAGTGTGCTAGGAGAAATGCTTGAATGACGACTTCTGGATCTAGACAATCTGTGCCTGCTACGAGATCTTGAGTGCCTAGACGAATATGGGCTTCTGCTTCGGGATTTGGCAGATCGTCTGATGAAAAATAATTAACATTTATTTAGTCAGTAATCAAATTAAACTTGTGCTAATTTGAATCTCTAAAATGAAACAAATTTACTTAATTTCAAAATGGTAATATAGTGTTTCTGAAGCTGCTGTTGTAGTTAAGTAAAATACCAGACGACAATTTCTTTAAAAATATTCTTCCTTTCTCTGGCCTTTGAATGCCCAAAGATAAAGCTGGATTTAAAACAAACAAACAAACACCTCCCCCCAAAATAATGTAACAATTAAGGCAGCAACAGGCCATCACTGTTAACTCAGAAAGGAGAAATAAGGTAAGGATCTACCTTGACAGCAGCAGATAAAGTCTTCCATTCCCACCCCTTCCTTCACTTGGTCATATATTCTGGCACAAATTCTGTCCCTTCACCACCATGAATCCTATTTTTGACACTTCAGAGTTCTCTGCCACTCTTCCTTATAGTTCCTTTCTATCTTACCCCTGTAATTCCTTCATTAAAAATCCAGTACCTACACTGAGGCTCACAAACATCCCTAACTCCAGTTCCAAAACATCTGACACCCTCTTCTGACCTCCACAGGCTCCTGTGTACACAGGGTAGTGCAGTGCACATACATACACTCAGTTGTGTACATACATTCCCTAAATATTTTGGGGAAAATATATCTGTACTGGAAATATAAAGTCTATAAAAAATTAAAAAATAAAACTCTTGATCATCTAAATTGGATTCCATTTCTTCCTAGAGCCTTAACTACCTACCTAAGTTTTGTAAGGGGGGGGCATATTAAATTCAGAATTTTTAACTCTACAGGAGACAGGTTAACATATTTAACATACTGAACAGAGGAAAAGACAGCTCTTACTAGACTTTGGTAGAAAATAATTGTTATAAAGTAGGACAGGTTAACACAGTAAACTACCAAAGACAAGTCCTTACTCAAGAAACTGCAGAAATTACAGGAAGCAAGAAAGTAAAGCAAGAGATTCCAGGAACCCATAGTGAACATGGGCAGAAACAAAAAAAAATAGAATATTTCCTTTGATGGCTAGCGTTAGAGATATTTTTATAAACATTCTATAACTCTAGAATACAAGAGAAATTACTAGGCTAAGGATAAAATTAAATGAAAATCATAGTTTCGTAGCCTCAAATTTAATATAGAAGAACAAAACTCATGCAAGCATGTTGGTACATGTCTTTTAATCCCAGCACTCAGAAAGCAGAGGCAGTCAAAACTCTGTGAGTTCTAGCCCAGCCTGATCTACAAATCAAGTTCCAGGACAGCCATGGCTACGTAGTGAAATGCTGTCTAAAAAAATCAAAAACAAAACTAAACTCAAATTTGGGTAATTTTTCCCACTTTACTAATGCTTCAGGCAAATGGTTATTGTTAAGAGAAAGAAAATGCATGTTCAAACCTGTAACAAATTATACTATATCAATCTTACTAAAATACTTTTTTATAAATAAAATTTTCCCTTCTTAAAATTTTTCTTGGACTGACAATACAGTTCAGTCAAAGTGCTTGCCACGAAATCTGAGTACCAAAAATTCAATCTCAAGAATCCTCAAGACAGAAGAGAACCAATTTCTGCAAGCTGTCTTCTGACCTCAGTAGAGACAGACAGACAGACAGACACACACACACACACACACAAGTTAATACAATTAAAATGTTTTCTTCGAATAGCTTTATACTGTTGAATCTACAATGAGCACATATTAATTATTCATTGCTTGGTTTCGACAAGTTAAGAGAGCTCTTTAGGAGCAGAAAAGGATCAGCACCAAGGTCAGGCACCCTGCTCTAGGAGATTCAAAGTCCCCTTCTGGCTTCAATAGACAATATGTTTAATTTGTACATACTTATACTCAGACATATACATGATAAAAAAATTTAAAGACATCTTTTTAAAAGCTAAGAGATTGATTGGAAAGATGGCTCAGTGGTTAAGAGCACTGGTTGTTCTTCCAGAAAAGCTGGGTTCAATTCCCAGCACCCACATGGCAGCTCACAACTGTCTATAACTCTAGTTCCGGGGCATCTGGCACCCTCTCATAAAATAAAATAGAGACAGTTTAAAAAAGAGAAGGATTGTGCTAAGAAGTGTTCCCAAATTCATACAGCTCAAATAAAACCAGAACTGCAACTCAAACTAACTAGGGTTCACTATTAATTAGGCTAGTTAAGTGTCCCTCGTAGTAGTAGTTCTCAACCTTCCTAATGTGTGACCTTTTAAGACAACTCATCATGCTGTGGTAATCCCCAACCATAAAATTACTTTTATTGCTACTTCATGACTGTAATTTTGCTACTGTTGTGTATGAACAGTAATATAAATATTTTTGGAGGCAGAAATTTGCCAAAGGGGCTCAGCAAAGGGGTCGATATGCACAAACTGAAAACAGTTGCCTTAAAAAGAGAGCATAATGTCCATTGAAGCCAGAAGGGGACTTTGAATCTCCTAGAGCTGAGTGCCTGACCTTGGTGCTGATCCTTTGAGAGCACTATGTGCTCTTAAATCTTGAGGCATTTTTTCAACTTCTAAAGAGCACTTTTTAACTTGTTTAAAACAAGTGAATTATAATCAGAGGCTTTGCAAGAATCCAATTCTTAACATTGTACTTGGTGAACAAACAAATTTAGGCTGATTTGTCCTTTGCTACCAAGGCTTCTGCAATGTTCCCTCTTTTCCATAACCCTTATCAGGCTTCAACAGCACTGTATTCTTGACACTGAGAGTTCCAGATTACTTCTGACTAAGCACCCTTTATAAACTCCTTTAATCTGCATGCATCACCTCTGTGGTCTCTTTTTGAAGTCTCTTGAACTATCTAAGTTGGATTTCATTCTTTCTAGAATTTTCACTGGCCTAGAAGTATACCAAGTATATCAAAATAGGTATGCCAAAATACTTTATCACAATTTTAGCATCCTAAATTATTTTTACTAAAGAATAGCCAATCCATCATTGGGCATCATCTCCCAGTATATCGACCTAGATGACAGAAAACACAGAAGCCCGTGTAATAAATATCCAGTACTCCTGTTATCCATTATCTCCAATTTTTCTTACCCCACTTTTTCTGCCTTATCTTACATTTTCATGGAGTTCTCTCAGTCACATTTACTTTACAACCTTGTTAAGTCCTCAAAGGAAGTATGAAATGGTTACCAAATTGAAAAAAAAATCACCATGTTGTCTTTTTTTTCCCAAAACGTTGTCTTTCTACCTCCATGTTTAGTGCACAATAATTAGGAAATAGAACCATTTAGATGTCCATCAACATTCAAAAATATTTTTAAAAAATGGTACATACACGAAATGGGACCTCACTGAGCCATAAACAAAATCAAATGACATTGTAGGAAAATGAAAGTAGAAATTGTTTGGCAGATTAAACAAGATTTGGGTTTTTTTTAAAAGCACATTTTTCTCTTAAATGCACAATTTAGATTTTAAATTATTTGTGTATAATTTTTAAAATATCGCTACATACAACACTTACCTACCTTCCTAAGTCAAAATTTCAAATGGCTGGATATGAAGACACAACTTTAATCCCAGCACTAGGGAGGCAGAAGCAGGCAAAAATGTCTTTTGTGAGACTAGCTTGGTCTACATAGTGAGTTCCAGACTATCCAGAGCTATATAATCAGACACTGGCTTTAAAAAAAAAGAGAGAACAACAAACGACGTTCCTCTGTGCCAAATTTATTATGCACTGTTTTAAGTGTTCTGGCTAATTATTTCCAACAGCATTATACAAGACTCTTAAATATCTCATTTAAAATCTTATCTAATCTGTACTATTATAGTCAAACTACTGATTCTGTAAGATCTGGCACCATCTGAAATTAAGACTTGGAAAGTGCATATATCGTCCTCTTATATTTGCTCCTTTTAACATTCTTTATTTTTAATTTTACTATTCTCTATCTATTTAACCAGGCTATAAACTTCATTTCCTGGCAAACACATATTATCTTAGCAACTGCTTCATCTTACTGATCCTAACTCTATAGATAGTCCCTTATAGCCATACTCTCTGAATACGCCTGTTGCTGTAGCCAATTACCTCAAATATGATGAGTTAGAGCAAGATAAATTATCTCAGGGTTCTAAGACAGAAAACCAGTGAACTTTGAAAAATTAAACCATCCATTTCTGCTGAAATCTCTTCGGAAGATCTGTTCTCTTATCATTCCCAGCTTCACTCACTCAAGACCTCCATCACTCGGGCCTCTCTTCCCATCGTATTTCTTTCCTCTCTGTTTCTATCATCACATGGCATTTCTGACTCAACCTTTCAATCATTTATGAACCACCTAGATAATTTATAATCTCTCCATCTCAAAATCCTTAATGACATCTACTTTTTAAATCATATCAACTTTCTGCCACAACATACTTCATATACACATTCCAGGGAGTATAACATGGATACTTTAAGGGAGCATTATGTGACCTACCATCCTGCCCACTTTTTTTCTCTTTCAGTCTACTACCCTCTCTCTTAGTCTACCTATCCTACTGATATATTCTCTGCTCCATTTATTATTGTAGATAGAATAACCAAACCAATACTCACTGTTGAATGAATTTTTTTACATGTTCAATCCTTCACTTCCCTTTTCTTCTTAGTAGTTACTGCAAACCTTCACAACTTTCTTCATGCTCACAATCTCAGTTCCAAGATGTGACAGGCATGTCTTCTCCCAAACTATAATTACCTTCCACCTTGCATGCAACCTCACTGCTATCTAAAATTGATGCTCCATTCTCCAGACCTTACTATTGACCACAAATAGCATAACCTGTAAGCTTTTCAAAAATTCAAAAATGCTATTTCTCATGTCCTTAACTATATCTATAGTCTCATACATGCAATTTTTTTTTTAATTGTAGACAGGTTAACCAAAAGGTGTTGGTTGGTGGTACCTTGCTATTTTATCTTTCCTGCTGCTCAAACTCACTGAAATTAACTAGAAAATAAGCATAT